CTGCTCATTTCTCCACCGTGCTCCTGCTCATTGCCCTACTGTGCTCCTGCTCATTTATCCACCATGTTCCCGCTCATTTCTCCACCATGCTCTCCTGCTTGCTGCTCTACTGTGCTCCTGCTCATTTTTCCACCGTGCTCCTGCTCATTTTTCCACTGTGCTCTTGCTTATTTCTGTGCATTTCTCTACCAACTATCCACACCTGTTCTCTCCCCTTTCTGCCTTTCAGGTGCCCTTTTACCCACTGGCTTCTTCTGAGCATCTGCATATGGTTGTGGTTCTCAGTTTCAGGGGCATTTATGAATACTGTGACAATATATCTCTAGGAGACACAGAAAACAAGCTAAAAACAAGATATTTAGTATCTTGCAGCCTGTGACTTATAATTATAAGTTGAATATCCCTAATCTAAAAAGCTGAAATCTAAAATGTTCCAAAATCCAAAAAACTTTCGACACCGATAGAGAGAAGCTTCCTATCCATGTGTTTCCTTCCCGGCTGGCCTCCTGGTGTGTTCTCCCCTAGCAATGTTAACAGGGCCACTTAGTCATTTTTAAAAACAGATTGGTCAGCAGGCATTGTACTTGGTTTGTATGCTTGCTTAGAGGAGGGTCCTAATTAATCTTACAATATAAATTGCCATTTGGAGTGTTGACTAAGTGCTGGCTTCTCTCCATATACAGAAGGTCATTATTTGTCACTTACCACATAAGGAAACTAAAATTTAGACTGGTCAGGTAGCGTGTCCAGCTTTATAGCGAGGGGTTTGATTTTTATCCCTGACTCCGAGCACAGCCTGTGCTCTGATAAAGATGCACTGACCGTTGTGATTTCAAACGGTGAAGCAGTGGTGTCTGGACATTAGCGCTGTGTGATTATGGCCAGTTCTTAACTCTCCAATGGCAGTCCTGGTGGGGATTAGGCTGGGTTGAAAAGACTGACCTTAGGGTGGCACTGACCACTGTAGGTGAGGCTCGTGGAAGCCGTGGTCTCTCTGGAAGATGTGAGCATGTGCCAGAGCAGCAGCACTAAAATTGAAGAATGTGTGCACTTACTCCCCAGAGTGGCCAATATGTCCCATTTCCTTCCTCAAAGTTGTCTGCCCATCTCTGTCCCAGCTTCTCCAGCATCTATGAATACAAGGTCCTGCCTATAACCAAGGACCACTTCCTGGCCTCAGACAGCTTGAAATCTAATGAGGGAACTTAATGATCCAAAAATAATGAAAAACAAAGCCACAGGAGAACTGACAAGTGCTTGGACTTTCAGCCATGATTGTAAGAGAGCATCTATCTTCCCACTTTAAAACATAAAACCTATTTTTTAAAAAACTAAAAAACATACATTAAACTGTTAATATCTAGCCATTGGACAACAGGCTGCATATGGCAATGATCCCCAAGAGGACACTAAGCAAAGGCAGGCTCCAAGAGGGTCCTTGCTCAGGGTCAATCAAAGAATCAAAGAACAAGATACTGAGCATGGCTACAATTTGCTAGGCAAAACATTGAGAGATAGATATTAAGAAAGGGAGTAAAACACACAGAGGAAGACCTCCAGAGATCTTCAGAAACATCCTCTGGGCTCTGTGCATGCAGTGAAGGAAATTCGTGAGAACAGAAGGAAAACATACAGGAGTAGGATGGAGTGACATGAATGGGGAAGAGTGTCGGGCAGCAGTGGGGAGGACCTCTGGGCATGAGTGGGGAGGATCATGAGATAGGATTGGGTAGAATCATCAGATATGAATGGGGAAGACCATGAGATAGAGCTGAGGGGGACCAGCATACAAGAGTGGGGAAGATCATGACCTTGGACTGGGAGGACCACCAGATAGGAGAGGGGAGGATCACCAGACAGGAGTAGAGAGGACAATGAAACAGAAGTGAAAAGGATCACCAGATAGGAGTGGAGGAAATCATCAGACAACAGCAGGTAGCGCCATCACTGGAACCGAGGGTCATGAGTGCTTTGTGCATCCCTTAGCTAGACATTAACCATTAGAGAAGACAACCTGGACCAAAAGTAAAGGACCTACGTGAAAGCTGTTTGCCAAAATGTTCAACACAACACTTGAGGATCAACTGATTCTGAGTAACTGAGCTGCATCATAGATACTCTCTGATGCACTAACGGAGCCCAGCACCTACCCAGAAAACAGTCACGCATAGCTTTCAGTCAGAATTTCCAGGCATCCATATAAGCAGGAGAAAACCTCCTGCAAGGAGAGAAATCAGCAGAGACAACCCAGAGCTGTACACAAGTGTTAGGAAGCCAGAACACCCAAGCAGCGGCTGTAACTGTGGTCCATGTGCTTAACTTAGACAGAAAGCATCCTTGGAAGGAACAGGAAAATGAAGCCTTTAAAAAGACATACACAGAATAGCTCAGGAGGAAGCATGCAGCATGCAAAAGCAATAGAGAGGTGAGACCGACAGCAGGCTGGATACCACAGAAGAGATCCATGGATTTCAGTCATAGCTAAAAATAAAAAAACCTATTCACCATAAAATTAAAACAAAAATGAGTAAACTCTAACAGAGCACCAGTGAGTTGCGGGAAAATATCAAGTGGTCTGACTTGTAATTTTGGTCTCAGGGGAAAATATTATCTGCAGAAATGATGACCAAGAGCTTCATAAATTGATAAAAATGTAAATACATGTTTGAAGAATGGCCTTTTAGTGACCATGTAAGGATCGTATATGTGTGTGCCTCATATAAAGCATTCAGAGTCCCCAAAACAAAACTGTGCAGAACTTAGACTTGATTCTTCAATAGCTGGTTCAGTGATTGATTGAAAAAGTAGAAAATCGAGACTGAACAAGCACAACCCAGCCAATTCATACACACCTTACCCTAGTGCAAGGGAACATGGCTTCCATTTGAAAAGCCACAGAACATCTGGTAAGATGCCATAGTCGGGACCATGAGCATAAGCAAAGAGAATTGAAAATATTGAAGACTTATAAAAGTAGTGTTTGACCAGAATAGAATTAAACTAGAAATCAATAATAAAATGTATCTGAAAAAAACCCTAAACATTTTAATACTAAACAACACTCTTTTAAAAACACACAGGTCAAATAAAATAACAAAGTTACAAGAAATTTTAGTTAAACCATAAATTAAATATACAATATCAAAACTCATGACATGTAGAAAATTTTATAATGCTTAGATATGACTGATTTATATAGTTATCAACAATCAAGAGAATAGATTAGTAATCTCAACTTCTGTCTCTAGAAGATAAACCCTAACAAAGGAAAGCCAAGTGAAGAAAAAGGCGAGCGGAAGAATGAAGTGATAAATATAAGGAAGGAAGACAGAAAAACGACAGAGACAATCAAGGAAGCCATAATCCTGTGGTTTAGAGCCAGTTAAAATTAACAAACCTCTAAACTAGTAAAAAATTAGGAGACAGGGATCATAAATATCAGAAATGAAGATGGGGCCATCACTGAAGGAGCCTTAGGCATTAACGAGAAAACATCGTGAATATTCCTACACTAGTACATCAGTTTAGTCCAGTCTGTAGAGAAACAAACCAAGAAAGCCCATGTGAAAGCAAACAGGTGACCTTTGCAGCCCTTTGCTGTAGAGAAGTTGAATGTGAGGTTAGAAACATTCCCACAGAGAACTGCAAGCCCCAATGGCTTTGCGTCTAGGTTCTATAAAACACGAAAATGAGAAAAAATTCCAATTCATTTGATTTCCCAGCAGTTCACATTAGGCCATCAGTTACCCTGAGGACTAAATCAAACAAAAGCAAGCTTTACCTCTCAAGTACAAGCACCGCCCAGAAAGAAAAATGAAAGTTACATGATAATCCAGTACAGGCAGGAAATGTAGTGTCTGGACTTTAGCATACATCCTCCGTAAGAAATATTAGCAGCTAGAAGAAGAGAATTTCCTTAACCTGAAGACAGGATCTAGCAAATGCTGCATTTACCACTGAAAGAGTGAATACTATTCGCTGTCATTGGGATGCCCATTCTCTATGGAACATGGTCAGAAACAGACCAGTAAACACAACGTAACAGTGAGAAGACAGGATAGGGACTCAAGCTGAGAAAGAGGGAAACACACCTGGTGACTTCACTAAGCAAGTTCAAAGGCAGCCTTGGCTACCTGTATAACCTTGTCTGTCTTACAACACAGCAAAATAAAACAGATTGGTTTATGCTTATCATTGTCTGAAAGAAGAGCATGACTGAGCTGAAGTTTGCTATTTGGAACCAACAGTTTATTGCTTGAGCCAGGAGTTCAGGGCCAACCTGAGCAACAAAGAAAACATGAGTCCCTTAAAACAACACAACTTAAAGAAAAAGTAAAGCACAGACTAGGAGAAAATATCCATTACACATATATATATACATACATATATATATATATATATATATATATATATATATATATATATGGTAAGATATTGAATCAAAAATAGAGAATGGGGTCTTATAACTCAGTAATAAATGACAAATAATAAATAACTCAGTAATAAATAAAGAGATGCTTGTTCTGATGGCTCCGAAGGGCTCCTGGAAGTCCTGAAAACTCTGTCCTTCAACGCTGCAATGTGCGAGATAAGTTATGACCTTGTGGAGTTCAGTATGTGGAAAGAAACAAGCGTTATGCAAATCTACTTTTTAAAAACTGTAATTTCATTTTAATTCCCCCTCTAAATCACTTTGTTTTCTTCCCCCAAACAACACTGTGACCATTCATGGCAAATGACTAGGAATGTAGGTCAGGAAGGCAGGGGACCGCTCAGTGGCTGCAGAGCCTTCCGGAACACAGCCAACAGCCCAGCAGCTGCACAAGCAGGAACCTTAACAAAGAAAGCTGTCTGCTATTGACATAAGCCATCTTAGGGGAGAGGTGGGTTCCCCCTGATGAAGTGACTGCAGGTGTGTTGGCAGGAGCAGAGGAGAGAAGGTTCAAGCAGCAGATGGACTGGCTTTGGCCTTCCCAAATGAGCTAGTGCTGGAGGTGTCTTCCACCTCACGTGGGAATCCTCTTGCTGCTTTGGACTCTGTTGGAGGTTAGATGATTGTGTCTGTGTGCTCCATGTGAATTTAAATTTCCAGATGGCAATCTTCTGTCCTGTTAGTAAAGATGTAGGGTGCCTTCCTGTGGTTTTGAAAGATGCTACTGTGCATAGGGCAGCCGTTTGCAGTTAAAAGTTAACACACCTCAAGAGAAAAGAAGAGATATTTTATTCTTGAGCCAAATATTACTGATGGTGTCCAGGAACCTATATAGATCCAGGGTGCCCAGGATAACATGGTTTGTTAAGGAAGCAGTCACATAAACATTTACTGTCCCCAGAATGAAAGAAGTAATAAATGTGTCTACAAATTGCAGCTGGGTTACAACAAACTTACTAAAGCAACAGCTCTGTTACTGGTTTCAGATACTCTCTGGTGACAGTCTTATCCTTGGAGTTGGTGGAAGACAGTGGTATATTTCCAAGGCTTTACTTGATAGTCAAAAGACATTAGATCAAACACAGGAGTGGGGAATAATGACACTAAAGAAAGCCTGATGATCGGACTATGATCTGTACCATTCTAACTCCTCATGAATACAAAGCTCTCACAATGCATTCCCTACGCAGTCGTCAGCAGAGGCGTCTTGCTTGTTATGTTTTTGAGGAACATCAGTTTACACAAATAATTACACGGTTCTGTTTTCATCCATGCTGCTCAATATTTTTTGATCCTGTTTTCTAGAAAATAGTAGAGAGGCTCATGTATCCTAGTTATTGGTTTAAGTGGTGAAGTGAATAATCTAGTTAAATTGTTAGTAGAGGAAGTGAGATTACGGTCCTAGAAACTTACCTTGGCGCAGATGCTGGGAGGCACGGGCTCTTTGTCGAGAGACCTTGTAGCTTAAATATAGACCACTTAAACCAGCCATGGTCATCCCCCAAACCCTTGGCAGCGTTGTTTAAGATGCCTGTTCCTGATCTCATGACATCATGTTAAGGTAGAGGAACATGGTTTTGGACTGAGTATGTGATATGCCCTCCGCTGGCAGCTGAGGTAGCGCGAACACAGACTCTTCCCACCACATTCATGCCAGTGGGAGTCCCAGTGCCTCTTAGCTCAACAGATACTTAGTGATCAACAGTGTGCCCTATCCCGCAGGGAATTCTGGGTCAGACAGGAATTAATAGGACACCAACCTTAGCATGAAATACCTTGAACTACACAAGATGGAAAGTGAGCAGTGGCGAGAGAGCGCCTGAGACATGCAGGTCTGTGGACTGGGAGGCAGAGGCAGTGGTGGTGGTGGTGCAGGAGGAGCAGCTGAGTCACTGAGATATTAAGGGAAGAGGGGCTCATGAGCCACATCGTCCCAAGGAGGGGACAAGGTCTTCTGTTTGTCAGAAGTGTCGATAAGACAGGCAATTACACCTGAGACAGTGTTGCTGGCCCTTGGGGACTTTGAGGGGAGGAAGCAGCCAGCTGGGTGCTGGGAGTTAGAGAGGAAGTTCAGTGCCAAGGTTGCTGGTGACAGGAGGAGGCACAGAAAGCTTGAGAACTGCTTTCTTCTCACAAGGAGACAATTGCTACTTAGAAGGCAGAGGTGTGTGGATTTTTGAAGGGGAGAGATTCATTGGAGACAGACAACTATAGAGTCCCAGTTAATAAGCAGAGAACCACAGGATACTCAATAGTATTTTAGTAAGAATGTGAAAGTGGAATGCTTTTACATTTTATGTAAGTAGATTAAGAAATTTAAATCTAATTATCAATAACCCAAGCAAGAAATTGAGGAGGAAAAAAAAAGATTAAAAGGTTTTCCATGTTTCTTTCACCTTTTGTTCTCTTCAGAACATTGTCATATCATCTTTCAAAAATTCCATGATACTATCCCTCACCTCAGTGGAATATTTTGGTATTTTAGGTTTTGAATGTCCCACAAAAACCGGGGACTTCACCGATACTGTCTTTTTCCTCAGACACAGGTGTGTTCGCAGTTGTCAACAGCCACTCCTTGTCCCTGCTGGGGAAGCTGACCATCAGTGCTGCCTTTAACATTGTTTACATCTACACCTCTGAGCTGTACCCCACTGTCATCAGGTATGGGTCTCATATTGCTGTGCCCCATTTATGCCATCAGGGATTTCTTGACTGTGCTTTTGTGGACAGAGATGGCCTTCCTTACCTTTGTGTGAGCATATGCCAATCATAAGAGCATTTAATCACCCATTGTCTAAGGCACTGTTCTTGCTGTGTGACATACCACAACCAAGACAGTTTTTATAAAAGAAAGCATTGACTTGGAGGCTTGCTTACATTTCAGAGTCGGTTGTTTTAGGGGGGTAGTGAGTACATGTTAATATAAGAAAAAACATCTTCAATCCTAATATCCCTTGATGAGGATAAGAGCAAAGATTCAGGATGGGACTGCAGCCTCAACTCTGCTTCCTGTGCCCTGGGCTGGTCCTCCCTGTGCCAGCCCTTTGCCAGTCTCCTTAAGGAGCATTTGAAAGAACCCTTTCTGTTTCCTCAAGCAAGAGGCCTACAGGTACTTTCTACCTGTTGATCTGAAATCTTTTCCCAGAAACAGCTTGCTCTGCTGGTGTCTTCTCATCCTTGTCTCTGCAGCCCGTTCAGTAACTTGGGTGCTACACCATCCACACAGGGGTGCTGTCCAAGCGAACAGTAGGGCTGAGGCAGAAGTGAAGGGCTAGCCTATCTGGAAATAGCACAATTCTTTGTTCCTTCGCTACCTTTTCTGCCTAAACTGTTCATGTTGTTCTGGGTTACCTGACAATATGCACACATCATTTCCTATTTACACACCTGGCTTTCAACAGTTAGCTGAGTTTTTTTTTTTTTTTAAGTCAAAGATTTTGGATCATAAACCCTTGGTTGCGGCTATCTTACCTGACAGAAGAACTTAAGTTCACTACATCCCATGAGACATGCTCAGATGCTCATTCTGTTCATCTTCTGACTAACATGGCTATTGCTGTCCTCATGTGACTTTAAATTAATTAAGATTATAAACATTGGAGATAGCTCTGTGGTTAAGAGCACTGGCTGCTCACAGGGCAGTGGTGGCGCATGCCTTTAATCCCAGCACTTGGGAGGCAGAGGCAGGCAGATTTCTGAGTTTGAGGCTAGGCTAGTCTACAGAGTGAGTTCCAGGGCAGCCAGAGCTATACAGAGAAACCCTGTCTCAAAAAAAACAAAACAAAACAAAAAACAAAAAACAAAACATACAAACAAAAAAAGAGCACTGGCTGTTCTTGCAGATGACCCAGACTCAATCCCCATCACCCACATGGAGGCTCACAACTGTCTGAAAGTCCAGCCCCCGGGTATCCAACATCTTCTTTCTAACTGCAATGATACAAGGCCTGGACATGGTACACATATGTACAGTTAAAGCAATTACATAATATAAAAATAAATTCATATTTTTAAAGTCAGTTTCTTCTGAGTATGGTGGCCCATATCTTCAGTTCAAAGAGCTTGGGGACAGAGGCAAGAGGATTGGCACAGTTCAAACTAGCCAGGGCCGACATAGCAAGACCTTGTTCTTAAAATAAAAGTTCACGTCCTTATCCTCATGAGTCACATTCAAGTGCTGAGAAGCCTCATGTGTCTAGTGCTGTCGTACAGGGTGATGTCATTACAGAACCCCTCAGCTTCATAGAAAAGTCTAATGGGGCACTGAACCTTCTCCTTAGGAATTTACTATGTCGGGCTCATTGTATTATTCCTACCCAGGATCTTTAAATTGTCCCGCTGAGACTTAATGACTGCATTTATTTAATTAATTTGGTTTCTCTCCTGCCTTCCAGAAACGTTGGCCTCGGAACCTGCTCCATGTTCTCCCGAGTTGGTGGGATCATTGCTCCCTTCGTCCCCTCCCTGGTTGGTTTGTACCTCCTGTCTCTGTTCTTGGTCCTCTGCTTCAGCACTCACTTGTGCTTTGTGTAGAGAGGTAATGAGTGAGTTCAGCCAAGAGCAGCTGAACAAATGCCAACCTGTGCCTTTCTGACATAGAGCTCCGTACTCCACCAGGGTGAATGACTGGGGCATTTACCCCTGGTGTGACTGACTTTTTGTTCACCTGGTCTCATTGGAGGGTCTGGTGACACTGGCATTCCCCTTCCCATCAGCATTCAGAAGTCATTAATGTGTATGATCTTCTATGGAGTGCTGGGTTCTATGCTAAGTACACGTTACTGCATGCAACCCTCATGGTCACTGTAAGAGGTAGGCATTGTCACCAGCTCTAAAGATGAGAAGTGTTTTAGATTCAGCTTGAGTATGTGCTTACTACTGGGAGGCGGAGGACAGGAAGAAAAACACCTGGCAGCACACATGCCCCATCCTCTTTGACGTTTCTTAAATTCTATAGTCCAAAACAAGGGTAGGGGTCCAGAAACAAATGACCCCTTTAAAACCCTCCAGGTCTTAAATGTCCAGGTCCTGTGAAAGCCCTAGGGGCCCCTGAAGGTCTCTCCTGGATTTTGTCAGGCATGTATAGTAAATCTGAGAGAAAGGGTCCTACAGATAGCCCAAGCCCTGTTTGTGAAGTGGACAAGCTATTATAGACCCAGCATTCATGATAAAGGTTGTTTCTAAAATAACAGACTGTCTCAACCCTGGGACAATAGATGTCTTAACTGATAGACAGTTCTGAGATCAGGCATGGGGCCTTGAGCTGTCTCAGAGTCAGGCATGTGGTAAGCATGATATTGAATCTTCTGAGGGTCAGAATGGCCCTTCGTTATTCAGTGTCCTTTGGAAGAGTCCAGGACACTTCCCCAAGCACACTAACAAAGACACCAAATCCTAGAACGTTTATAAAAGAGACTGAAGAGATGGTTCAATGGTTTAGAATATGTCTGTTGTTGCAGAGAAGCCAAGTTTGATCCCTGCACCCATGTCAGGAAGCTTATGACCTCCTATAACTTCAGAGGCTCCAACACCATGGTGCCAAGGGCACCAGCACATCCATGCATGCACACACATACACAGAGTTAAAATCCTGAAATATTTTTTAGAGTATTATATTACAATGTATTATTATCATATAATAAAATATCATTAAGATATTACTTATACTGTAGTTTTGACACTGCCTTTAAGAGCTTTTCTAGAGGATCTTGAAAAGAAATATCCTAAATGACAGAGCCAGCCCAATGTGGTCAGGGGCCTGTGCATTGGAAGAAACCATTGACTTTCTCTGAGAATACCCTTTGAATCTCTGAAACAAATCTGTGTGCCATAGGGCTTTTTTCTTTGGGTTTCTACACTTTTAATCTTGGGTCTCTCTCAATGATGACATTATAACACATTTGACCACTGCAAAGTTTATTATCAGCAGACAGTCAAATGAAGAGAACATGGAGATCAGCATGGAGCAGACTTTTACCTCAGGTTGAAGCTGGACTTGAGAATTCCTGTGAACTCTGCTGATGTGAGCCTGCCATGCTCACAGATAGTCATGGTCATGCCTTACCTGACATGGTTGGTCCAATGCTTCTAGTCCGTATTCTTGTCTAGCCCTTTGGCTCACTTAGGCCATCTCAGCATACCTGAGGAAACATTCTGTGACTTCCCTGGATAGTTGTCTTAGAGCAAATGAACGTAGTGTGTGGTGTTCTTGTAGGAAGGCGCTGACTAGACAGTAAACCTGGCAGTTCTTGGTCACAGGACTGTTGATGTCACCTGCTGAAAAGCTGATAGGTTGTTTGGTTTTGTTCTACTTTCTGTCTCCACAGAAGGACGTGCAGTGGTCTCTGCCCTTCATCGTGTTTGGAGCCACAGGCCTGACCTCAGGCCTCCTGAGCCTGCTATTGCCAGAGACTCTGAACAGCCCTTTGCTGGAGACATTTTCTGATCTTCAGATGTACTCATACAGGAGGCTAGGGGAGGAAGCACTATCTCTACAGACCTTGGATCCTCCACAGGTATACCTGTGTCTATAGAGACACATGCTGTGACCATGTAGGTGCCCTGGGGTTTGATCCCCAGAGCCATCTAAAACTGGGAATGGTGGTACACCCCTGTAAACCCAGAACTAGGGAGTTGGAGACAGGAAGATCAGGAGTTGATCTCAGCTACTTAGCAATTGGAGGCTAACTTGGTCTGCATGGGTTCCTGTCTCGAAACAACAGCAAAATTGCCCTGTGAGTGCCCGGGTGGTAATTCTCATTTAGGCCTGTCAGGATCTTCTTCTATAAGATCTCTTTTGCCATTGCAGCCCCTGGACAAGGCCAGCAGTGAGAGTGAGGAGGAGGAAGAGTTCTATGATGCAGATGAGGAGACACAGATGATCAAGTGAAGAGCCCACATTCCTGCCCAGAAGTGAAGCCCCTTAGTGCCTCGTCCAGCTTCAGCACCAGAGATGTACTCAGCCCACACTGATGCTTTCCAGACAGGAGAGGCGGTGGTGGAGCAACTCCAAAAGGGAGAACTCGCTGCGTTGAGTCATTGCTGACTTGTTTGGGACTGAGGCCGCACAGCTCAGATCCACCTTGTAGGATTGTGTCCCATGCTGCTTCCCTTCCTCGGGACCTAAGTGTGAAACTGCTCGCACTTTTACTAGGGTTAGCCAGACCTTCCCCGAGATTTCATCTTCCCAGTAAGCTTCACATCATCCCTGTCACTTGCTTCTCCCCACCAGGGGTCTTCTGGTGCAGGCTGATGAGTGCAGAGCTCCCAGCTTCCCCTCTACTCATGGGCTGGTTCCCAGCTCACTGGTTGCCGGTGCAGCTTGTGCCTTTAGTCTGAGTCATTCACTAATAAACGGCAGAGTCACCGGAGCAGTTGTCTGTCATCAGGGACTGACTGTGGCATGGTAGCTCCCTTTGACACTTGTGTTGTGCAATTTTTCCAGTTCTCACTTGGAAGCATCTGGGGAATGTTTTTCTTTGTGAGATTCTAGCATCAGCAATAACTTCAAAATCATGTCCAGTCAACAACGAAACTCTACAGACTGAGGGTGGTCAGCAAGTGATGCACTAAGCACTTTTTAAATGACTGAAGAGAAGATTCTGTCTCACAGTGTTGTCAGCGTGCAGCGAGGGATTTGCACAGCATATCAGGGCTTGGTCTCTGCCCTGCATCAGTCTCTACCTGTTATTTAAAAGGCATGGTGGTTTTTTCTTTTTCTTTTCTTTTTTTTTTTTAAGAAAATGGTGAGTTTTCATTAAGTGCTTCCATGGATCTCCAAATGAATCAAAATCACACTTAATACCTGTTTCTCACAAAACTTGAACACTCTCAAATAGGCATATAAGCCGGGAGTCCACATGTGGGCAATTGACCACTTCCTGACCAGGGAAGCAGCTGTGTGTTTAGGATTTCTATGTATGCTAGTCTCTTGGGAGTAGCAAGCACACAAATGTGAAGGAAAGGTTCTCTGTAGATGCCCCTAGAAATTGTGCAAGCCTGCATTCTTTGCCCCCAGATATGTTCCTGGGCTCCTCCATGTTGTCTCGGCTTTTACTGTGCCCATCTGTTCCTTTTTTAAATCATTTTCCTTTGTGTCCTTGGTCATGGGGAAGCTGTTTCTACCACTGTGGATAACAATGGCTGGCTGGGATGCAGTGAAGACCCCATAGGTGGCCCTGTGTCTAGCTGTCAGGAAGATTATGGAACTCCCTCCAGCATCACATCTGCAAATTCCAGTAAAGAGTGTCCCACACTCCAAAGTACAAAGTCCTGCTGCTCTCCTCTCTGGGAAATGGAGGTCAGCTCTCTTTAGGAGAGGAGGAAAAGGGCTTCCAGAAACTCTTGGTTCTTGTCAAATAAAGTGTTTAAAATAAAACTAAATTTATATATATAATTTTGATTGGCTTGATCTCTCCTTATATAACATAACATGTAGTATTATTATTTTTAATATTTCCCAACACAGGGTTGCTTCCTGACTCAATGCTTTATGTCCCCGAATGAAACACACACACACACACACACACACACACACACACACATTCTTTATATTTAATATGCCTTGTGCAGCACAATAGCTGGGCAACTGTCTAGCCTCCATGTTATTAGAATCTACCTCCCACTGGTAATTTCAAGTTACTACTTACTAATGTCTATGTTCCATCTTGGCTGCTCCTGACCCAGTTGAGCACTCCTCTGGGCCGTGCTCTCCCAGTACCTTTGTCCTGCAGTCTCGGGCATGGCTCCTCTCTTCTTCCTCCTCCTCAAGGTCCCAAGCCCTGGAAACCAAAACCCCCTCTTTTTCTTCTTCCCAGCTATTGGCTGCTGGTATCTTTATTTACCAATCAGAATTAACTGGGGGCAGGCTCCCAGAAGCTACACATAGACCCTCTCATAAAAATAGTTTTAAGGGGATACAGTTAACAATAGAATACAAAGAGCTACAATAACCCATTAGAGAAAATTTGATATTAGAAGTTAGAAAATGTAACCATCAGTCTAGCCACGGAAAAAGCAGTGCCTTGGCGTTACTTCCCATGTATTCATGCCCTGCTGCTGTTGCAGTTCCTGCTGCTTCTGGCTGAGTTAGTGAAGGTCTAGGTAATTCCCAGCTAAGAGGTAGAAGGAGAAACCCCAGTGTGAATGACATGCCATGTAATAAGGCCAGGTTGGCTGTCAGCTGCTCTTGTTGGATACATTATTACATTTTCCTTCTCACTGGGTAGTCCTCTAAGCACAGTTTACTAATTATTTCTCTGCCTTTGTAAAGATGGATTTTATTCCCTATGATGGCTGCTAATGAATATTGATGGTACAAAGCCACAGAAAGCTTATTTGGTAGGTAGCATATTTTCCTTGTATAGGTAGTCCATTAAAAGTGTCTTTAAAAAAACAGTAAAATATGTCTGAAAAGTCATAAAGGATCATACTATTAACTACCTAAAATACCTATAATACATGAAAATCAGCGTTTAAATAAACACATGGAGTTTAAATAAGAATTTTCCCTTCTGAGCTGACAAGAGTCATAACTAGCAATAAGTCCAACACCAGGCTGAGAATACCTCTCTTGAGTTGTTGGTTAGGGTTGTCCAAGAGACACACAAAACATTACAGGCTATTGCTATTGCCTGTGGTTATACTACTTATATATAATACATATATATGTATTACATATATGTAACAATAAAATGAGGTCAAAAATTTTGGGGGGAAACATTAAAATTAAGGTTTCTCCCTTAAAAGTGACAAGAAAAATGTAAAACATAGGAAAACTCAGGGTTTCAGGCCCAGAGGTCTGATGGCTCATGCAGCCTCCACGCTGCATGATCTGTGCTTAAACCACAGTCCCTGAAGCATGGCTTTTTGTCTCTTGGCTTCTCCGTAGCAAGGGAGATAGTTTTCAATTCTCAACATGAACACAAAATACAAGAAAAGCAAAGTTTCTAGAGCACTGCTGGGTGACTGTGGCCAGGATAGGCATTGTCCAGCTTAGTGCACAGTTTATACTCTTAGCACACACATGTTCAAGTAACTGTCATGTAAGATTTGGGAACTGAAATCCCACTTTTCATAGGACTTCTTCCTACAGATAGTTGATCATTGGTCCTTAAGTTGCAAAGATAATAAAGATCAGGGTATTTTATTAACTAAATGAAACCAGGAATTAGTGCCTGCCTTTTGTAAGTTTAATAAAGGATCACAGAATACAAGGGGTTTTTTTTTTGTTCATATAGAGTGCATTAGGAGTACAGTAACAACTTTGCCAAATACAGAACCTACCAGAAGCCAGGAATGCTGTAAGAGATGGATTGTAACAAGTCAGGGGTTTAAAAGAGAAGCCCAGGAGAGCAGTGTTGAAGAATGCAACGATGGTGATTTTGGGAAGCCCATGCATGGAGTAAGTACATCTGAGGAGAAAGACTCTTCATGGGCACAGCATTCAATACTCGTTCCAAATGAAAGCTACCAGCAGACTAGGAATACAGAAGATGCTAGCAAGATGCATCCTTAAGCTCCATTCAACGCCTGGGACCCATATATTGGAAGTGGACTGACTCCTGTATGTGTCCTAAGACTTCCACAGAAGCTTCCTTAGTGAAACAAAGGATGTTGTAGTAGATACGTGAGTGGCACACAGCATCTGCATCTCCTGGAACTCCAGCCTTCAGACTTTCTTGATCCTGATCCACAGTTAAAACTGTTATGTGGTCTGATCTACAACGTGAGTTCCAAGATAGCAAGGGCTGTTACACAGGGAAATCTTGTTTCAAAACAAAACAAAACCCGAGAAGCAAAACCAAAAGTAAACCAGCAACAACAAAAAAGACAACAAAACTGTTATGCAGCCAACAGAATGGCTTAGTAGTTTAAGGCACTTGCAGTACAAGCCTGGTGCCTTAGGTTGGTCCCCAGAACCCACGTCAAAGTGGGAGGAAGGAACTGACCCCACATTTTTTTTTGTTTTTTGTTTTTTTTTGTCTCCACACATGCACTGTGATACACACATGCCCACACACATACATCATACATGCACAAGCACACATGCAGATACCAGATACACAATATTTCTAAAAATGTATGTATTCATGTGTGCCTGTGTGCTTCTGTGTGTGGAGACCAGAGGTTGATGTTGAGAATTTTCCTCTATCTCACTCCACGTAATTTTTTGAGACAGTCTCTCACTGAATCTAGAGCTCACCATTCTGGTTGGACTAGCTGGCCAGTGAGGCTCCAGGACCCACCTGTTTCCACCCCTGCGCACTGGGGCTGCAGATGCATGCTGCTGCATCCAGCTTTCACATGCATGCTTGGGATCCTAACTCTGGTCCTCATATTTGCATAGTAGACACTTTACACACTTTGCCAGTTCTTCAGTCTAAGAAATGCTTTTATATTTCTCTCTCCTTAAAGATCTATAACTATGCATAAAATATAAAATAAGTGTGCATATAGCTTTTGTAAAATGTAATTCACCAACAGTCTTGTTTGATTTTTGTCATTTGTGACATAAGTCAATTTTATGATCCGTTAATAAGTTGTAACCCTACTTGAAACACTCCATTTTCCTTTTATTGCAGAAGCTTTAGGCTAAAATGTACACTGAGTGGACTCCCTTGCAACTATGCGTCTTGAAGAAATTAAGCTTCAGCCTATCAAATGTAGAACTTAAATATGGAAGTAAGGTAGAAATCTGCTTTTAAAGGCTGTGCTTCACAGTGGTAGAATCATTTGATTTCTTTCGGGCAGTATTACAGGGGACATTGACGGCCAGTGGCAATGACAATTAAAATAACATTTTATGTAGCCATGAAATAATGTTGGAATTCATGTGGAAAAGTAAAGATTTTTTTTAAATTAGTTAAGACATTCATTTTAAAAAGAACAAAAAACATTAAATAACCAGGTGTCCAAGATATCAACATTATTAATTGTAATCTTGATCAAAAAAAGATAAGTAGTACCAAAGAGAGATTCTAGAAAATTTAGTCAGACTACCAAATGTTGAAACTGAAGGAAAAGGAATTTACTGACATCATGATAGAAGCATGAAATTGTTCAATTGGATTTTTAGCAAGTCGGGTTGAAATATACATATTCTATAACCGTGAAATAGTTTTTTCCTTCAATTTTTTTAGGGTAACATTGTAAGGCCTAATTTTGCACAATGACAAACATGTACACACACACACACACACACACAAACCCATATCTACACCATACTGTTTCACTAAAGAGAAAAGAATACTGGTGACAATTCTGAGATGATTCACAATACATGCAGCTCTAGAAAGACATGCTGTCCCTTCTGTCATAGTTTCTGCCAAGTGCACATACATGCAAGGAGACATGTTCAAAGAAGTCTGGCTGTGCTACTGTTAGTTGTACAATGAATATATGAATATATATATATATATATATATATATATGTATATGTATATGTATATATGTGTGTGTGTGTGTGTGTGTGTGTGTGTGTGTGTACATGGACAATTCAAAGAATGCATATGACAGGGAAAAAAAGTTTAAATACTGAGGTGGGAAGATCTCAAGAGTGAGTGACTCTGGAGGAGGGGGAGTCTGTTTTCTTTAAGGCTGTGTTTCCTGGTAGGTCAACCATGTTCCAGTGATGCCTTACCACCTCTCCAAATCATACAAATTGGAGTAGATGGGATACTAACTTTTTTAAATGGGGAGATATGAAGTTGTGGAGATTAAGAGGATTGGAAGGCATATAAAATTCTCAAAGAATAAAATTATTTCTTTCTAAAAGAGTGATTGGAGTACTTACTAAATGGAGAGATTCTCTCCTATTTGTGCCATATTTCCAATCAGGAGAATTACTATTATGTTACACAAATACAAAAGTCCTGAGCTTGTTTCCACCAGATAGGGAGGTACTCCTTTTCTCTATAAAGAAGTCTGCCGATGTGGCCACATGATAACCTGAATTTCTCCTAAAAAGAGAGCCTTGGATCCGTAGAAACATGTGGACAATTCTAGAATTTATAAAGCTTGGAAAAGCTTATGTATTAGACATAGTAAGGGAAGAGTTATTTAAAAGACCTCTGTCTAGACCATGTAGAACAATTGGTTGTGAATAAAACTGGCTCTTCAGAATCTCTGCTTCAGAGCATAAGATGAAGAAATGGAATTAAATGGTTGTGTATGATGTGCAAACACTCACACACACACTCAGCTTAGAGAAGAATGTAAGAGTTCCCAACACAAGAGCAGAGGAGTGGGCGGGGCAGTGAGGAAAGGCAGGACCAGTGAGGCTCACCTCAGGAAGCAGCATCAGACATGTGCAAAGATACCTGTACAGACACTCAGAAGTCAGTGTGGCTAGCTGTCCCTTCAGAAGAGGGGGCCTTCAGAATGGCTGAAGCTGTG